GTCAACTCTTCATCACCAATGCCAGGTACCAATCCATGACAATCTGAAACTGTTAGCCGCTTATCAGGAGTCTCCATGTATTTAGCAACAATGTGGTTCCTACAGTCCATATACTTTTCTGGTGTATGATCAGTTGATTTTCCTGAGAAGAAATGAGGAACCACTTGCCTCTCCAGCCGATGGACAGTCGCAGGTGCAAACCAATCTATTTATAGGGAATCCAAAAGAAAATGTGGAAAGATCACAACAAAGATGTGGATATGGCAAACATACCAGGTAGATAAACTGGGGAAAAATGGAATAACTGAAGGCCAAATATTTGGAAAAATCCAAGCCATTGTCTACGCAACTTTCATGTACTACCATTCAAGAAAAGCAAGAAAATCTACTATCCACAAAGCCACGTTGAAGCCACACAAGTCAAAAATAGGTTTGCCTGGGTTCACAATAAAACTGCAAAACAAGCAAACTTTGGCTTATCCTTGAAACAACACCGTACGACAGGCGTTTAAAGGCGAATGTGCAGTTCCTAGTAAGCAAACTAGCAACCTCTATTAAGAGACATGGCTATATCTAAGCGAAAAGTTTCAACTTAACTGGCAGAGGGCAAACAGTTGATCCAAGAAAAAACACTGAGATACAGGATCACAGTCTAATATCTATAAATTCCATCTATAACTCTCCAATCCCACTAAGTAACAGGCTAAGAACATCTTTGTTTCAATAGAAAAATAATCTCAGAAATGAGCTAGCACATTTGTACTTACTGAGTAACTAGGGGTAAGTCTGGCTTCCCAAACACCAACATTTTAGTTCAAAACATGGGCGGTTATAAAATTGACAAAAGTAAGGTATTGGTTATCTGACATGGCTTTTTCAATAAATTCTCAACGGGACCCTCAGGTACACAGTGTTTGCTGCACTGCCAGTAGTACATACCCACCCATAATTCACGTTATTTTTTTATAAACACTGAACATACAAACAAGTGAAACCAGATGCTGAGCACAGGAACACTAACAGTGGTGTAACTACGCAAAGCAGATACACCAACAACCAACCTGTCTCTCTCTTCATTCCCATGAGGAACCGTCGTTCAAAACTAGTTCTAAATTAGCAGTTTTGGGAAGCCACATTCTTCACTAATCCCTAGGATCCACAAAAGAAGCTCTGAAATCATTCCTCGGAACAACACTACTTCTCCAGCAAAAGTTGCGGCATTTACCTTTTTGTCGAGCACAAAAGTAAGGCCACTAACATTTAGTAATAAAAGCCACAGGACTCCACTCTTGTGTCACCATATTCTGACAAAACACTGCCAGCTCGAGAAAATACAAACAAAACAACCCACCAGAAATATTCGAGTAATACCTGAATGCATAGGGACCAGGAGAAGCTTATTCCCAAACCGCTTGACAACCCCTTTTCCCTCCATAATCTGGGGAGGCGTTACCACAAACGCGGAATTACCACCGTCACTTCTCTCCTGATCCCCACCACCAACACTCTCTGCAGGGACAGCAGACAAGGCCGCCATCTGCCCACACGACAAGTTCTCCAAATTAGGGAGCAACCCTCTACCACTGCCACCGCTGCTAGCTTCCCCGCGCAAGTTGGCCCGCTCGGCAGCCACAATCGCGAGAACGGAAGCATGAGGGCGATTCACGGCGCGCCTAACGACGGGAGGGAAGTCGCAAACCCGGACCCCTCCGTCAGCAAGCACCTCGACCGGATCGGGGAAGGAGCGAGGAACAGGAGGGTTGACGGCGCTAGGGTCCTCGGAACCCTCACGGTCGAGGTGGTTGTCATCGTCCAGTGGGGTAGCGGTGTCGTAGTCTTCGTCGGAATCGTCATGCTTGGGTTTACGGGGAATCTGGGGTTCGCGCTTCCGCCTCTTCCATTTGCCTCTGCCATCTGCGGGAGTTCGGGTTGGGGAGAGAGTCAAAAATAAGAGAAATTACAGCAAATTGAAGCAACAATATTGGGGGGAAGAGAGTGAAGAGAGAGAGAGAGAGAGAAGGGGATTACCAGAGGAAGGGAAAGAAGGGGAAGCCGGCATTTGGGAGAAATGCGGAACGAATTGCGGGGCTGGTGTGTTGTGGGGGTCGTTGATTGGTTGAAATTGAAGGGTTTCAATTCAAATTCTTGATTGAGCGCAGACGAAGACCAGCTAAGAAGGCAGTTGCAGGCGGGGAAGATTATTCGCCTACCTTCTCTCTCTGTTAATTTTCATAGCAGAGATATCTCTCCCCCTCCCTCTCTCTCGCCTACTGTCTGAGATTTGGGGAAATTTCGTTTGCGTTTGGGTTCTATCATCTATGCTCTCCTCACAGAACTCGCAGAGCAGAGTCTCTCAGTTTCTTGGATACGGCGCCGTTGGGAGTCACTTAGAAATATGGCAATTTTAATCTTTTATTCATTTGTCCGTAGATATCCTTGCGGAAAGACCATTTAAGAGCTAAGAAAAGTCAGGAAAAAAATCCCAAGTTACACATGATTTTAAAAAGAAAATTCAAAATACACATGTTATGTAAATAATTCCCAATCTACGCAAGTTTGGGCCTTCACCGCGTCAAAACAAGGCGGTGATTGCTTCACGGTGATTGCATCACCGCATGAGAGAAGCACGGTGATTGCATCACCGCTGTAGAGGAAGGCGGTGAAGGCTTGACCTGCGTCGAAACTTTAAATAAACGTAACTTTGTACTCGGTTATCCGATCGTAGAGAAATTTTTTATAATTTCGTCGACAGCGGTGATGCAAACGTAACTTTGTGCTTGGTCCCGCCTTCGTCTCGAAAAAATGTCGTTTGCTACCCCGAACGAGCCTTTTTCGATTTCGTCAAACTTTGAACGACCATAACTTTGTGCTCCACAATCCAAAAATCATGAATTTTTTTGATTTCGCATAACTTTTTAAGGACTACAATTTTTAGTAGGAGATAATTTTCAAAAAATGAATCATTTATGGATATAAGGGGTTTTGGGAATAACTTTACCTTCCCTTTTCAGGAATCCAAGTACATTCCGAAATTATGTTTACGATAAAAATTGTAGTCCTTAAAAAGTTATGCGAAATAAATAAAAAATCATGATTTTCGGATTGTGGACCACAAAGTTATGGTCGTTCAAAGTTTGACGAAATCGAAAAAAGGCTCGTTCGGGGTAGCAAATGACATTTTTTCGAGACGAAGGCGGTTTAGGGTTGGTTTTCTTTAGGGATGGGCTGTCAGGGAGAGTGGGCTGTGAGCTTGTGAGGGAGGGAGATTGGGCTTACTTGGGTTGTGGATTTATTATTTCCGCTTATCGGTTCGGTTGTTCGGAATTCGTTTCAGTAGTGTAGACCCTAGTTTATGAAGTATTGGGTTTTGGCTTCCGAATTACGAACTGAATAAAAATAGTTCAGTTTTGTTCAGTTTCGGTCTGGTTCAGTTCAGGTTTACCGAATCTGATGTCCACTCCTAATACATCTGGTCTACGATCCAGACCGATAGACTAGAGTATAGACCACAAACTATACGGTCTGGCCCGGTACGGTCTGGTCCAGATAGACCACATTCAATGTAAAATGACCAATTTGATTAGTCAACCACACTAAAAATTGAACAAATAGCCAAGAAAAAAATGCTTTTTTTTTCTTAAAACATAAATTCTAATATGCATGAATAATTTTGACACCTTAAATTTTTGTACATAACAAAGATACAAGTCAAAGCATCCCAACTTGCACCATAACGTAATAAACATTAACATTATGTCATATGGGGATACGATTGTCTCTACTCTCCAGTAAAATGTGGTTATGAATAAAGGAGAGGACGAGATTTTCAAAATTAAGGTTGAGACTTGGGTCTCATTGTGGGAGTTGGGAGAGTGGTCGAGTGGGCTGCTAACACGTATTGACAAGTTGGCTGGGACCAATGTAGTCAAAATCGCGCTTTACAAATTAAAAAGTTACAATTTTACGTTTCTAAGTCACTAAAACGCTTCAACACAAAATCTCAATTTTTGTAACTTATGTAGTTAAAAACTCCACTTTAAAACATAAGATTTTACGCTTCTAGATCACCAAAACGTTTCTATGTAGAAACTCGCTTTTGACTACATTGGCTGGGACCACGGTTTTGTCCAGTAAACCGCAGTCTAGACTAGTCCAGATCAAGAGATCAAAACATCATTTAATACAGACCATGGACCAGACCATACTTAACTGTCTATAATCCGGAACAAACTGCGCGGTTCGGTTTGGATCACAATTTTTCTAAGGATCTGGTCTATTTTCCCAACCCTAGAGGTAGCCTACGATACATATTGGTATGCCAGTCTAAGATGTCGTAGCTTCGTCAACAGCGATGTGCATGCCTGATTCTAGGTTGCACGAGTTGTAAATTAGCCCAATGGGATAGAAATTTGTGAAGCACGGTTAAAGTGTATTGCGCATGAAGCAGGAAAACAACATTATTGCAACCCTTCCAATATCGTCAGTATAGGAGGACCTAATTGGTGATGGTTTCCAGATCTACACTATTACACAAAGATTGTTCATGGAGTCCAAGTATTTCATTGGTAACGGTAGTCTAATAAGGTGACGAAGGGAAACGACGATGGAAAAAGTAAGTGTTGGAGTGAATCACCCTCTTATGAATCACAGATCGAGCAAGTTGATGACACTTGAACTCCATGAACTTGAAGATCATCACGCAACAGAAAGATGCGTAGGCAAATCCACCGCAAAAGAATCATAGCTTGGGTGTCATAGCTAAATCGCAAAATTTAGGTGAAAGGTTTGATTAGTGGGAGGAGCAGATAGATGTGTGGATGGGGAGATGGAAAGACAACTCGGAATTCACTATTTAATAACTTGAAGAAACCGTTAATTAATCAAGCTAATTCTCATTCAAATAACTGAAGTTATCTCTCAGGTGTTAGTTATCTCTGTGAATACTCACTGCACACAAATTAGCCAATATTTACGTATTAATATGGTAAAAGTTGGTTACAACGGTCTTGCGGTCTTTCTTTATACAAGGTGGCAATTAACCAAACGACCCCACTAATCTTCATATCTCCTCACTCAACTTCTAACTATTTATAATTAGGTCCGTTTGTTACAACTCCCCACTCCTTTAGCACAAGCTTGAAAATTTGGAAATTTGGCCTGAAAGTCAATCCATGACTCCCAATAAGTGGCATCTTCCTCTGTCTGATGAGTCCACTGTACCAGCAAATGAGTCAACGATTTGTTGTCTTATGCCACTACTCTCCTGGCCAAAATGGTCGCAGGTTCCAACTTCATAGCTCCCTTATCATCAACAGCAGGTAAATTGGGTTGTACTTGGAGATCAGTATTCACTCTGGCCCGCTTCAAAAGGGAGACGTGAAAGACAGGATGAATAACAGACCTTATTGGCAACTTGAATCTGTAAGCTATAGCCCCGATCTTCTTCTCAACTGGAAATGGACCAAAGAACTTAGCAGCCAATTTCTGGTTTGCTCTGCTGACCACTGAAGTTTGTCTATAGGGTCTGACCTTGAGGAACACCAAATCTCCCACCTGGAATGCTCTCTCAATACGATGAGAATCTCCCATCTGCTTATGTTTATTCTAAGCTTTGGCCATATTGGATCTTAAAATGCTAATCAATATGTGCTGCTGCTGGAGTCTGTCAGCCATTGCAATCACTGGAGTAGATAGAGGATTTTGTATAGAGGACTGAGAGGGCGAGTAACCATACAGAGCTTCAAAAGGGGAAATCCAAAGACTGCTGTGAAAATTAGTGTTTTACCACCATACTGCCAAAGTCAACCAATCAGCCCACTGCTTAGGACATTGATGAACCATGCCTCTCATATATTCTTCCAGACAACGATTCATTCTTTCAGTTTGACCATCTGTCTCTAGATGATAAGCAGTAGAATAGTGCAATGTAACCTCTTGTAACTCCATCAATTTAGATCAGAATGAGCTAGTAAAGATTGCATCTCTGTCAGATACAATAGTGACAGGCAAACCATGTAGCTTAAACACTCCATAAAAAAAATAGCTAGGCCACTGATGATGTTGTATAAGGTTTTGTTAGGCCAAAGAAATGTCCATACTTGGAGAAACGATCCACCACTACTAACACTGCATCCTTACCTTGAGAACTAGGTAATCGTTCAATAAAATCCATGGAAATATGCTTCCATGACGATCTGGAATAGGTAAAGGTTGTAACAATCCGGGATAGGGCACATTCTCCACCTTACACTTCTGACATGTCTCACAATGCTGAATATAACGTTTCAAATTAGTTTTGAGACCAGACCAACAAAAATATCTTTTGATCCGCTAGTAACTGGCTTGTAAGCCTGAGTGACCCCATACAAGAGAGTCATGGAATAACTGCATCAACTGGTCCCTCATATTCCTACTTACTCCAACATAGATGGTAGACTTATGGTAAAGCAAACTTTGATGAATCCAGTAGAGCCTTGGACCAATGAAAGGAACAACTCCTCAACCAATAGTGCTTGTGCCTCAGGATCCTCCACATGATGTTTCCAGTTCAATTAACCAAGTTGATAACACAACAAAGATAGGTATGCACTCCCCCTGAATAGCCATGGCAGCAGCAAAGTTGGGATGTCTGGACAGGGCATCAACAACTTGATTGAACTTGCTTTGTCAATACTGGATTTCAAAATCCAATCACAATAGCTTGACCAAACCTTTTTCTGTATTTGAGTGTGTATCTTCTACCAAGTAAGTGCTTGAGGCTTTCATGATCTGTGACAATCTTGAACTGCTTTCTTTCCAAATAATGGCGCCACTTAGTCAGTGCTAGAATTACTGCCAAATACTCTTTTTCGTAGTGGACAAACCCTACTTTCTAGGCCCTCCTGTGATATGCCAAAGGCCTACCTTCTTGAGAGAGAACAACACCAACTCCTACTTCACTGGCATCCTCCAAGGTAAATGGTTTGCTAAAATCCGGAAGAGACAACACATGAGCTTGCACCATAGCATCCTTAAGCGATTCAAAAGCCACCTGATCCTTATTTGACCATCAGAAACTGTCTTTCTTAAGAAACTCTGTTAAAGGTTTGCCAATAATGCCATAGTTCCTCACAAACTTCCTGTAGTACCTAGTGAGTCCTAGAAAACCCCTCAATTCCTTCACATTTCTTGGTACAGGTCAAGCTACCATAGCCTCAACCTTAGCTGGATCACTGGTGACCCCTTCCTGGTTGATAATGTAGCCCAAATAGTCTAACTGAGTTTGACCAAAAGAGCACTTAGATGGCTTGGAATAGAGTGTGTTCTGCCTGGGGATAGTCAAGATGGCTGCCAAATGTTGCTGGTGAGTCTCGTGATCAGTTTTATATATGAGTATGTCGTCAAAGAAAATCAGGATGAACTTCCTGAGGTAAGGTGCAAAAATATGATTCATTAAAGCCTGAAAAGTAGCTGGAGCATTGGTTAAGCCAAATGGCATTACCCTGAACTCATAGTGGCCTTGGTGGGTTCTGAATGCAGTTTTGTGTTGATCATCAGGGTGCATTCTAATCTAGTGGTAACCTGACAGTAGGTCAAGCTTGGTAAAGAACTTGGAACCTTGAAGTTCATCTAACAGATAATCAATAACAGGTATAGGAAACTTATCCTTGACTGTCAAATCATTCAACTGACGTCTGACGATAGTCCACATAGAACCTCCATGAGCCATCCATCTTGAGCACCAGTAATACCAGAGAAGCATAGGGACTTCTGTTGGGTTGAATGTATTGAGGCTCCATCATTTTCTTGACCAATCGATTCATCTCATTATTCTGGGGAATAGAGTAACGATATGGTCTAAGATTGATAGGCTGTGAATTTGGTTGCAATGGAATGGTGTGGTCACAATCCTAGCTGGTGGTAAAGATTTGGGCTTCCTGAAAACATCTGCAAGATTACTAGCCTCCACAGTCAAACAGAACAATTATCCCACAAAAGCTGCATTGGTCTGTCTGAAAATCTTCTGGAAGCTCTTACGAAAAATGGCTTTGCACTGGGCCATGTCTTGTATTCCTTGTAAAACCACCTCCTAGCCTTCCCAATCAAAGAAGAGCTTAAGAGAAAGAAAATCAAACTTTATTGGACTGATGATTTTTAACCAATCTAAACCCATAACTGCATCATTAGAGCCCAAACTCAGAATTCTCATGTCGTATGTAAATAAAAATTTATGGCCTTGCATCTCCCAACATAAAGCTTTGCATACAATGTTGCTCAAGAGTATGGTACCATATGCTAGTTTAACCCTCAGCGGAGTAGGGGCTAGAACTAATTGACATATGAGATCCTTAGCCTTGGCTTTATTGAGGAATGTGTGGGTAGTTGGGTGCTCCCAGTGTCAATCACATTGTAAATGTTATCCTTCTTAATCTGGCCTTGCACAATCAGTGAGTTAGACAGACCCCCACTGCCCAGAGTCTGCATAGACACCTCTTCTAACTTCGGGTGTTGAACTTCCAGACCGGGATCCACTAACTCCTCTTCATTAGGACCACTCCAATCCTCAGTAACTCCTTCTTCATCATCATTAGCCTGTAGCACATTGAGTTGCTTCTTAGGTTCACAAACGTGAGCAAAGAAGTATCTATCACCACACTTGCAACACACTCCTCGGGCCCCATTTCCCTTTTGATTCATCATAGGAGCCTTTGCCATACCAGCAGGTTTGCTACTCGAACCTTCCCATCGACGAGCTTGAGGAGTATGAGTGTGCAACGTAGCAGCCATGGGTCAAGGAATGGAATGACCATGCCACTTCTTCTGTACGTTCTTGCCACATTGGAAGCTTCTTCTAGCTGAGCCAATTGAAAGGCATATGCTAGAGACTGAGGATTCCACATCTGCATCACAGGACGTAATTCCTCCTCCAAACCACTGATAAAGCTACTAATGAAATATATCTCCTCAAGAGCTGGATTAAAATGGGACATCAATGAACGTAATTCCTCGAATTTTTCTTGATACTCTGCCAAAGAACCTCGTTGCTTGAGTTTGTTGAACTCAGCTACCACACCCCCATACGTTCGATTCCCAAACCGTTGCACAAAGCAGAGACAAAATCTTCCCAATTTAAGTCTCGTTTACCATACTTCCAACCTTCAAACCATATATCAGCAGGACGCTCAAAGTAGATCACCACTAAATTCACTTTCTGGTCATTAGGGATAGCATAAAGGTCGAACAGTTTCTCGCATTTCTTGGTCCACTCTCTTGGATCTTCACCATTAAAGGATGGAAAGTCTAACCGGGGAAGCTGATGATTGTTACCTGGGGCCGGAGCTTGAAATTACTCCCACTCTGCAACTGGAGGAATCGGAGCGTGAACCCTAGGTCCTGCACTACGGCAGGATCAACTCCCCTGAAACCTTGGTTCGGTAGTGGAAGAATGCCTCGAGCTCCATTCCGATCACCCAGCGGACCTCCCGCACCGGCAATGGCTCCTGCTGGCCTCGGATTAACAATCAATTGAAGCATATCACGAATTTTCTGAGTTGATTGACCAAACCAAGTATCCAGATGAGCTTCCATCTCCGTGAATCTCGTCACGGAACCGACTTCCATACTATCCAAGCGAGTCGTAAGAGTAACAAATTGCTTCAAATGACCCTCCGAACGAGTCATTAGCTCCTGAAACTAAGTTGCGTGAGAATTGACCACGCTACGAACATCGGCAATCTTGTTGTCAAGAGTGCTCTGCGCCTGCACGGTCGCCATCAAGCAAATGAGACGTTCGTCAATCAATCCCTTCATGTTCGCTATGATTGTTAAGATGCCAAGACGAGCTTTGATACCACCTTGTCACCCTTGGGAGAGATCAACCTGTATTGGCGAAGGTTTGGCGTCAGAGAAAGTGTAGGAAAAGGAGAGAAAAAGGTCGAGAAAATAGAGAGAGAAGGAAAGCAGAGAAGAGAGAGAAAGAGAGGAAATGTAAAGTTGTATTGATCTAATAAAAGTTAGTTACAACGGTCTTGACGGTCTTTCTTTATACGTGGCAATTAACCAAACGACCCCACTAATCTTCCTATCTCCTCACTCAGCTTCTAACTATTTACAATTAGGTCCGTTTGTTACAGATCCATACGACCCATAGCCACCTTCTCCAACATCTACGGGAAAGAGTAGGGCAACTCTGGAGTTCGGGCGCATAAATGAAAAGAAATGTAAAACCGAGCTTCATATATACATATATTGTGATGTCAATTACGACATCGGACATACAGACAATCATTATACCGAGTTCAGTTGAATAATCAAGCAGTTAGCAGCAATTACGCAAAATGCAACACTCAATTAAGTTCCTGAATCAGGCGACCATGTTTTTATTGCAACCTTACACCTCCAAGCTCCATGCTGCTCCAAATCGTGAAGAACACTTTATAAAATCGACGGAAAAGAACCAGCCTAATTTTGCACTCCTACCAATCTCAAATTTCAGACATTCTAGCAATCCGAATGAAAACTAAAACCAGCAGTTGAACCTGAAGTAGCCATTGTTTGGCAACAGACAACTGCACCGAGTGAGTTTCCCCTCAAATGCAACCAAACTTGACGTGATGTGTTCTACCATTAGCAGTCCTACTTCAAGTGATGCTCAAACAAGGATGCCATCTCAATCTGCAGTTCAACCCAAACTCTACTGT